AGAAAACTGTGATGTTTTTCTGTCAAGATTTTTCTCATTAAAAAACTCCTACCCATACCACATAGTTATGAAATAGATTCCATTCTCTAAGGTCTTGTGCTGGGGAAGTGAGAGAAGGCTCCAACTCACAAACTACCATAAATTTCACCATCTCTCCTTCTGGAAAATAGTCAGATAAGTGGGTTGTTTCTCCTTTAATTAGAATGTAAAGGGCAGAATTGAGAAACTGTGGCACATTTATCACTCCATATGCTGTTGTAAAAGCATGCCAAAAAGACTCAAGCATTTTTAAAGATAACATGTCATATATGTGTTTAGATTAAATAAATATTTTCATCCTGTTTTACATCACAACACCTATAATCACAAAAAGTGTTTTTCTCCTGTCACTTTTCACCAATATTTACTTCAACATTTAAAAGATAATTTGAGCTTTCTCCTCTATCCAGAGGCAACTGTGTCTCAGAAATATGTAAGTCTTTAAATTAATGGCCTAATGATTGTAATCAGTCACTCATTATTTTTCACCTCCAGTCATTTTTTAAACTTTCAGTGTTTTCCAGTAACTCGTCTGGCTTAAGATCCTTTCAAAAGCCATTTCTACAAATACAAGATATCTGTTTAGACATAGCTGTCTTTTTTTTAATTTATTTTTTTTAAGCATAGGAAGAGGAAATTTAATAGTCTGTTTTTTATTGAAGAGCTCTGACTCATTCTGTCCACTATCTATGCTATCAACAGGGTGGAGGCATTCTGGAGAAAACAGGAAGGTAGTGGAAAGGAAAAGAGAGTGAGTGTAGAAGAAAGCAAATATGATCCTGTCACTACAGATGGCATTCCAAAGTATACACAACAGGGAGCTCAATTGAGACCTTAAATCCCCTGTGTTAAGTGCTATGTTTTCTGTGTTCAAAGGGCAGAACTAGATGCTGATATCCTCATTGGTTCTGCATAAAGGACATACACAAAAGAGTAGCAGCACTTAGGAAGCAAAATACTCATTCTGCATCTTCGCATAGGCCTGTCTCCAAGCATGCTTCAGAATATAGAGACATAGAATCAAAATCATAGAATCACTTGAATGGAAAGGGACATTTAAAGGTCAACTGGTCCAACTCCTCTGCAATGAACAGGGACAATCTCTGAGGATGGGGCATCCACCAAAAAACTTTTTCTTTATATCTAGTCTAAATCTTCCCTCACTTAGTTGGAGACCATTTCCCCGTATCCTATCACAACAGACTCTGCTAAAAAATCTGTCCCTTTCTTCCTTACAGCCTCCATCTAGATACTGAAAGACCACTCTCAGGTCTAACCAGAGCCTTCACTTCTCGAGGCTGAACAGCCCCAGCTCTCTCAGCCTATCCTCATAGGAGAGCTGTTCCATCACTTGGATCATTTTTATGGTCCTCCTCTGGATGCACTCCAACAGCTCCATGTCTCTCCCATGCTGAGGACTCCAGATCTGGATGCAGTGCTCCAGGTGAGGTCTGACAGTGCAGAGAAGAGGGGCAGGATCACCTCCCTGACCTGCTGACCACGCTGCTTTTGATACACCCAGGGTACGGTTGGCTTTCTGGGCTGTGAGAGCACACTGCTGGCTCATGTCCAGCTCACCACCACCCTCAAGTCTTTTTGGCAGGGCTGTTTTCAACTCTTCTGTCCTCCAGCTTGTACTGATAGCAGGGGTTTCAGGGATGCAAGACTTTGGCATACAAAATTATTGCTACTTACACCACAGTAGTTTGCTTTGCTTTAATTTTTGACATAATTTTGTACCTATGTAATTTAAATTGTAATTTTAATTAAGATTTAATTGTATTACGTATTCTAGCGTTCTAAATATCCTTAAATCCAAATACACGCTTTTTCCTTGTACACCTAAAACCTTCACAAAAGTCAGTTTGTAATGCTTTCTTTCAAAGCTGCACGTGGTTCCCTCAAATTGAAAAAAGGGATTTGTCTTAAGATAACGGTTGTGAAAAATTCTGCAAAGCTTGTACAAACATCAGTCTTACGTGTAGTACTGACTCAGTCTTCAGAATCAAATTTTTCAACTGCCAATCACACAACTTATCAGATAAAACTAAGAACATTGTTTCTATCCTATTTCATCCAGGCAAAAGGCTGCCATTAAGCTTTCCATTACATACCCCAATAGAGCAGTTTGGGGAAAAAAAAAAAAAAAGATTCTAGATTTACTTCTTGTGCCTGTAAATGGGAGCTAAGCGACTGCAGATGAGTTGTGGATAGAAGATTATTCAGATCACAGGACTGATGAGTACTGCATATATCCTACGGAAAAGATATTTCAGACAAATCATTACTGTGGCAAAGTCAGGTTTGTGATCCAGGCTCCAAGTAACAATTTTCCTAATTTCAGAACAAAAGTCATTAAGCAGGACTGCAGTTTACAAAGCTCAACTTATTTTGTTTTACTGGAGTTTGCAAAGCTCTGAGCCACCAAAAAAACAACCAAACAGAAACAAAAAAAAAATCCCAGCAATACTCAATTATAGAATTTTGATGTTAAAAAGTAAATTTAAAATCATAGAATCATTAAGGTTGGAAAAGACCTCTAAGATCATCCAGCCCCACTGTCCACCTACCACCAATATTGCCCATGAGCAGATAAGCAGATAACCAGAGAAGATGAATATTTTAACTACTGGGATGTGAATTTCTGGAAGAGGTCGTGCAGCCCTATGATTCGCTGTATTTCTCCAGCATTTTCAAAAACACTTTGGGTACACTTCAGATTTCTTCACTCTTACAGATTTGAAGACATGCTCAAAGTTAACACACCACTTTGTTATTTCTGTGCTACTCATGGGAACTGTGGAGTATTTCTGACTCTGCTTTAACCTTTTGCCTGGGTACCTTAGCACTGTGACTGAGTGCTGGCCTCAAGTTGGCAGGAGCTGTGAAGGGGCAGAGTGCACCACACTAAGCCTAAGATAACAAGCTTCTCCAAAGGGAGGTGAATAACTGTCTTGTCTTCTACCAATCCAGAGGCAATACCACAGCTACTGAGACAGTATCTCTTAAGCTTTGTGGTAAAATGTGCTAGTGTGATTTGGCTCAATGAAAAAAAATATTTAAACCCTCTATTTAACACTTTGACTGAAGTATACTGCTACCTGGACAGTCTAACTTACACCCCTGAGCAGGGATGAGCCCTCCAGGAATAGCCTTTGTAAAAGTGTCCCTCTTGTAAAGCATGCATGTTTTCCCTATTCACGGCAGGAGGATTTCAGTTTGCGTGCTCAGATATAGAGAAAAGCACTGCATTAGTTAATCACAGAGCAGATCTACTCCTTCATCTAATGGCCATACTACTTTTTTTACTCTTGCTAAGAAGTGGATTGCCTCTTGATACAGTATCTTAGCATCACCTGCATGGTTCCTGCTCAAGGTGCTAGCAGTGTACAAGCACATCTTTAAATATTAGATCCAGAAGAACAAAAAGGCTAGCCATCAGTTGACACAAGCAATAATGAAGACCCAACAGAACTAGCTTCAAGCTTGTTTGGAAGCATCTTGCAGTTTTCTCATCATGAATCAAGGAAGATTCATGATCAGTATGAGGGTTTTTTTGGTACATCTTAGTGATAAGAGACGTCTTTATAAATACTAACATGAAATTGTAAAAACAATTTGTTATACATCATGCTGTATTAGCTGCAGCAAGGTGTTTATTCTTCTCCTTTACACACACATCCTCTTCTCTCAAAATATATTTAGTTACAGGAAAAACAAGTACATACTGTAAGACTGCTTGAAAAAGCCCTGAAGTTCAGCTATATGACAAACAAAACTTTTCCAAATATTTTGATAATAAATTATTAGATATTATTTCCAATCTAATGTCAGAATGAAGCAGTGGTTCTTAAGATACTCTGCAAAGAAGACTAATTTTAAAATTAAAGATCCACTACCTCGTTAGACCCATTTACTCTCTTACAGAGCACCAGAAAGATCTGTCTTTTCCTCCTCTTGATGAGTCACTGCTTACGACACAGACATTGTGCAGACTTGATGTCTTTATGAAGATTAAATAGTCCTATAAATGCAATTAGAATGAATATGTACTTGCTAATTTGTAATTGCATTCGGAATAAACTTTACATTAACAGAAAAATTAGAGTAAAAAAAATTATCTGCCATATTATGTCTGTCCAGTTCATTTCCCTACAGCAGTGGGCAGAGATTCTAAAGAGAACACTCTCCTGATTTCTGCAGTAATCGATTTATGCCTCAAAGCAAAAAGCAGTAGCACACAGCCAGGTATTTAAGAATATCTCTGAAAATACTGGAATATTTGAGTCATATCTACTGATTCAAATGTATCTCACTGGCTTCATTTTCGCAGTGCCTCTGAACAGCCCAGTAAACAGCAAAAAAGAGCTGAACAGGAAGAGATTCAGTAAGAGCAAACCAAGCTCCTGTCTATTGTTTTTTAAATGAAAAAGGAACATGTTAATAGAAGTGCTGAATTTGGGGTACTAATCTACAGCACATGCAGGTCAAGCAAGGATAGGCAGCCCAACCAGCCCTCCACCAGTTTTTTTTCTGATAAATTGATCTTAAACATCCAGACCAAGATTTCTTTTTGCTATATAGTACTATTCCTTATGCCTCAAAGAAATAACACTTAATATTATTACGCTGAACTCAATTTCTTCGAGAAAACATGGTAAAAGAGATTAACTATTCACAATCAAGATGATTTCCTTTTCCTCTACATTTTGACCTGATTATATCCACCACTTGAGCAGGAAAATATACTGATTTCTTTAGACTCCCCTTTATTGAAAAGCTATCAAGAAAGCACTAACTTGACTGTTCTGCAGCATGCTACACATTGCTACAGAACTGCAGATGCTTACAACCACACCGCTTGCACAGATCAGTTATCCAGCCAAAAGACAATATTTCAGTTCTCTAAACCAGGGGATTCAATGCTAAAAACATTCAAAATCTTTAGTTTTGTCTTCTATTTTTAATCATACAGAAACATTGAATGCTAATTATGCCCAGCACGCTGTGATTTAAAGTCAAACTGTTAATTACAAGCATTCCTCAGGAACTCTACAGTACATCTTAATTCTTCAACACCAAAATGCACATACAAGCAGTAAAGAACAAAATACTTTGCAAATTAAGAAGTTCCAGCTATTTTGCATAGAGAAAAATATTCAATGTCTTCGCATATCTATGTTTACTATTACTGGAAACTGCATGTAAAAAGTACATGTGAGACCTACACTGCAGGTCAGTAAAACGGCAGCAGGCAGACAGCTTGCTCAAGAACATGCAAGAACTCAGAAGAGAAGAGAATTTGGTGCCTTCACCAAATGCGGTGCTTCGCCTGTCAGTGGCCCTGCAGACAAAACAAGAAGAGAGCAGTCACCTGGAAACAGATACGAGTAAAGCATCCTAAGCTACCTGGTTTGCCTTGACAGTGACACTCAAAGAAAAGCCGTAGAAGAGGACTTGAGGATTGTTTAGGGAAAGTTTTCATTAGATATGTTCAGGAATTTACCAAAATGAACTCAATCAGCTGACCACGACAATTGATTAGAATGTGAAGAAGTCTAGTTTCAGTTTTTTTCTGTCACTATCCCATAACCCAGGTTAGAGAACTAGCCTATGGTCTGAGCCTGCTCCATGGCCGGCTCCTCCACAAAACACAGCTTCTGCATCACATCATATCCATGATTCAGAGCAAAACTTCCTCAGCATGGGGTTCAAGTACTTGGAATTTTGGCAATATAAATATTTATATGTAACTATGCAGTTTCTAAAAGGGAAAGCTTTATGGTAATCTAATCTCAAAACCAGAGAAGTTCCTACAGGCCACTGAGGACAGTGGCAGAGCACATTCTGGAGAGAATGTAGGTCTCGATATTGTAGATTATTTACTGGACTGATATTTTCTTGCTCTTCTTGTAAGTGTTTTAAAACCTTACTATCACCCAGATGAACTGATTTTTTTCCCCTGAAATTTTGTAGAATAAGAGTGTTTTTGCAACCCACTTCTGATATGTCATCTTTGTGATTACATAAATACAAGAGCTTTGTGAGCTCATATCCATACAGGGTAATGAGAAAGTCAGAACCCAGAAGGCAATAGACAATGTTAAATAAGAATTAAAGATATTCTTGAACACACCAGAACACAACTAGTCATATTGTACTAACAAATTATCTTAAATCATAATGCCTGAGAATCTTTGGATCTAATTCAAGTTTCCTTCCACACAGGAATTATAACCATGTTTGCTGGTCTGATTTGACAGATACCAATTTCATATTTCACTCAGCAAATGGACCTTCATTTTCTTTAATACATTCTACTCTTCTGGAAAGAAACTGTAGTATTTATCTAGAATTTGTTCCACCTGTGCAAAATAAATCATTTTTTTGTTAATTTTTCTGCTTAAAGAAAAAAGGAACTTAATGTGCTTCTTCAAACATTTTTACATTTGTATCTCTTTCATTATAACATAAACATCCAGAGACTTTGTTTAAACACCTTATAATTGAAATTCACTGCTCAGTGTCTTTATGGACTTTTCCTTGGGTTCTACAAAGCAATCAGAGTTCTGCTGTAGACATTCACTCTAAACAAGTTACAAGCAGTTGAATATCCCCTGGATACCAAAAGATTTATTATTTCTTATTGATTTGTGCAGACTGGGATACAGGTTTGCAAACCTGTACGAGAACACACAAAACAAAACTCCTGCAGATCATAGGAGTGAAAATTACTTGAAACATTTCAAAATCACTTTTTTCTGTTTTGCCTTATAGTACTCATCTGTTCACAGCATACCTGGAAAAATAATGAATGCAGTGCATGATGGAAAATGCATTAACTCTACCATGCAAGATATTTTTAATGTTTATCATCAAATGAAATAAATGCATTGCATGCAACAACAAAGAGGCACAACTGACAAATAAACAAGGAGGCAGAAAAAAAGGATAGGAGTTGCAAGGATGTGTTTGTGGGTTTTCATGCTTCTTGCTACTTGGATGAACTTATTAGGCCAAGAATCTGTGTGTTGGTACAGTATTTATTACTGTTTGAACCTTATATGTGAAGTCAAGGATAAAGCAAATTTTTTTTTTCCAGATATAGTGACATTTGTCCTATTAGGAGTAAGTTAAATGCTAATAACTTACATTAATATTTTTCATGAATTATTCAGCAAAATAATTAAAATTCATAGTAAGTACTAAGTTTCCTAGCGAAAGTGATTTTCTAAATTGTATTTTTAAATTAAGTTTAAAATAGAGAGCAAAATTTTATTCTAAGTAGCATGAAGTAAGAGAGCCAATGGATGGTTGTCCAGTTGGGGAAAAACAAGACGTAAAGAGCAATGAAAGAAAAACAGAGATAGAAAAAAAAGTGGTCCTCTAACAAATAGGATTTTGCATTCCTATTATCCAAAGTACTTTGCCCTCAACACTCATAAATGGTCTAGAGAATCAAAATAAATCAATTTTAGCATTAATGTGTTATTCCACTACTGTAGGAAGTTGTACATGTGTTATAGATGGCACAGCTTTTCAGCTTTGGTTATTATTGAAGTTCTACTTTTTCTACTTATAAAATGATGGAATATAAAAGGATACAAATTCTATGTCCCAAACTGGAAATAAAAAAAAAAAACTAAAAGCCTTGTCTGCTCCCTGAAGAATTGGTCATACATTGTTTCTCATCTTAAATATACTGTACTTCCATAATTCTTAATACAGACTTTCAACATAAGTTGATTCCAGTAACTATGAACTGTACTATAGCATTTATATTACAATTTAGATGCAGCATAAAACTAAATAATATCATTTTTCATTCATTTGAGATGCCTGCTTTTCTACTTCTCTTACCTGAAGACCTGGCTTCATGTTACTTTCAAATAAGAGCCCTTTCAGTCCTTTGCCTTCTGGCTCCATCAAGGTTCATTCACAGCTGATGCATTCTGTCAGGTTGCACATAAGCAAGGATAAAGGTCCACCTTTCTTGGTTTGCTGCACAAGACTGGCAGATGTGCAACTCTCTTCCATTTACCAGCAAGGTCTACTACTCATAAGCACTTTGAGATCACCTTTCAACAAGGACTTGTTTACTCAGTCATTCAAAGAGCGTGAATATAAAAGCTAGAAGTGACCACTTTACTCTTCCCTTGAATTTCAAGGCATGACCTCTTGACAGATAAATTGAAAGGCTAAGTGCAACTTACTGGGAAAGAAAACAGACTTTTTCTAATTCTCCATAGAAATGCTCTTGCCAGGATGTTAATATTAAAATATATGGTGCATACAGTGGCTTCACTGAGTCACATGCACTGCCACTGCCATAACCTCAGCTGCTTGGCAAACTCAGCAGTGAGGTCAGACAAATTTCGTGATTCCACACTTTTGCCAAGAAAATCACACAAGGGCAAAGATCAAATGGAAGCAGCAGCATTTATAGATGGACTGTCTGAGTCTCCACATTCACTACTGAAAAGCAATCTTACTTCTTGTTTTTAATATGTTGCATTTAAGGATGCTACATAACCTGGAAGTTCTTCTGGTCGGTATGTGTTGCTATGGGAACAGAGTTTGTTTCACTTACACAGCTTTCACAGCACTCTTAAAATAGAGGAAATGAGTAGATGCACAATCAACAACTGCAAAACTGATTACTCTTTTCAAGTTCATGTTCAGCAGACCAGGTTTTAGCAGAAGTGAATCAGCAAGACACTTGGCACCTGAAGGTAAAAATAAAATCTGAAATCAATCTTTACTGTCTGAATACACCTTCGCTGGGCATCTCAAATAATATCTTTAAATAAGTTACATAACACTCACTGGATATTGAAATCTCCTTGCTACCCAGCATACTAACATTTCTGAAGTGATTTCTCACTGGAAAAGAATTTTACAGGACAAGATTTTATTTTGCACTTGAAAACCACGGGATTTTAGTAACGAAGCCTGATAAGCATGAGAAGAAATTCTGGCTTTTTTTTTTGTCACTTAAAGCAGTGTGAAATGAAAGCATACATTTAAATCATGAGGATGTCTTGCAAGACAGGCATAGCAGCAAAAAAAAAACAAAAACAAAAACAAAAACACATCAACAACCCATACCAAACCCACAGCCATAAAGTCACTTCCATATGTGTTACCATGAAAAACAATCTTAGTAAAAAGAAAGTTTTAATGAAGTTATTTTTAATGAAGTCATACAATCTGCTTCTGGATAAATCAAAAACAAATTCGATTCAGGAAAACATCAGATTATGAATCTGAAGGTTTTTGTTTAAAAAGGTATAAGACTGTCTGTATGCAAGGTAGACCAAGAGAAAATGCATTTCTCACAATTTCTTAATGTTCTATATATCTGATCACCACCAATTTTCTTTTAAAATTAAATGAGGAAAGGAAACTTTAGAAGGAGAGCCATTTTAATTATTAAATCATGTGCTGTAACAAGGCTTACATGGATTGACCACAAGGAAAATGGCTAAAAATCATAATTCTGTTGTAGCTAACAACAGCAAAAAGCAGCTTCAGGAAGCCACTGTATCTGGTATTGTTCAAATACAATAGATACCATGGGGCAGGGGAGAGAACTGCCCTCATTGCTGTACTTTTCTGGCCACAGAGTGATTTGGAGTTCTATGGAAAATTTCACAATAGCTGAGTAACTCAGCCTCTGGAGTTTTTTTTATGTGAAAGACGTAGATTTTTTTTCATGAACAAAACCTGTGAAGTTGAGACTAAAACCTGTGACTGAAAAAGCCCAACAAGTAAAGCTGCGTTTCCATAGCATAACACACTGTGACCATAACTACTAGGCTGCCCTCACAGTTCTGAAAGAATCCATGTTCTCAGCAGTGTATTTAGATTATACTGTGGTATATTTTTGTTATATTTTCAGATCTCTGAGTATTTGTGTAGTGCATTCATATATGCAGGAGCAGCTCACTAGGAAGCTTATATAAAATGGATCTGTACTGTCATTCACGAGCTCAATTCTTGACAACCATCCTTAAGGAAGACATGAGAAATCTCAGGAATATTCCACCTGGACTTCATGTCTCACCTTTCTGAAAGGTTTCCATGGCTGCTAGAAACAAGAGTGTAAAACTGTGTTTAAAAAGAGAATGTGGAGAAGAGCCAAGTATTGCTTTGCTGTCTACAGCTGCAACTCAGTGTTTCTTTTGCTTTCCCTCCTGCATTAGCACACTGGTCAGTGAGGATGGGGCCAAGAAAGTGCCTGACAGACAGAGAAGTGATGCTGCTTGCAGGGGAATGTCAGTTTGCTATTGGCTGTTAAATTCTGAGGAGGAAAAGAGAAGTTTGCAATGAAGCAGAAAGATGAAGGGGCGGGTCAGGGTGCACTGAAAGAAGAGAATAAGAGAGAATGAGGAAAAAAAATGAAAAAGACAGTATTGAAACAAAACACCAGCAACCTCATGAAATGAAAAGTACCCCAAGAAAGATACATGCATGAAAAATTCTGTATGCTTGATTAAATTAGAGATGGACATTCCTCTGAATAAGTTTCAGACAGGAATAGTGTTTGTCTGAATCCAAAATTAATGTTTGCTACCTGCAGAATACACAATACCTGAATTTTCAATGCTTAAATACAAATCGAATCTGTGACTGTATTTTAAATTATAGCTATGCCACAGATACTCAAGATGCTCTGTGGCATTTGACTAATTCTCTTTTATTTCAGCAAAAACAGTATTCTGTTCAATGCATTGCTTTAATATACTTCATTCTAGAGCTGCACTGAGGATAGGACTGACTTGAGAAGGAGCTATTGCTCACAGTATTACCAAAATAAGCTGATTATGGTAATTTTCTAGCAGCTTAGGTTTTTTACTGTATGTTCATGGGGTATATCACAGGCAGGAGTTTGTTTTGCATAACCAGAAGCCATGTAAACATCAGCTCTTACTCTCCACTCCACAGCTTGTTACTACAGGCATAACAAACTCATGGAATTGACGGCTCACATCTGCTCAGAGGAGACCTCAGCAGAAGATTTCACAGCACAGTAAGGAGCCTTCTGCTGGAGACCACTCTAATATACTTCCCTCCATTTGTTCTGTCATATTTTGGTATTCTGCAGCTCCGTTTTTCCCCAGTGCTCTTTGTAAATGAAAAATCATTTGCTTCATGATCCATTTTTGTCTGAGAACTATGCACATCATCATGTTAAAAAAAAAAAAATCACTCAGTGCCAAGCTGAGATGCATCCTTCATTGACAATTAACTTTTGTTATTTGATTATTTAAAGTACATTCTATTTCTTTGAAAACTAAATCTCTGCAGGGCACAAAGGTCTTTAAAACTTAACTCTAAAAGATATTCATAAACATCAATGCTTTAGCCTTTAATGAAGGAATATATTTATAAATGTATATATATAGTTCCCAAAATGTCAATAGAAACACTTGACATTGATTCTAGCTCTGGAGTGGAGCAGTCTTAAGGAAGCAAGATCTGAGCCAGCTAAATTGGCTTGAATTCTTCACAAATTTGGCTTAAAGTGGGTGAACTACTCAGTCAATGCAGTATTTTGGGAAACTGCATTTTATTCTGAAAACTTGTTTTAAGTGATGGCATTTCTGTTCTCTTGGAAGACAGCAGCAAGACAGACCTGAGCACTAAGCCTCCTACACAGCCAGAGACCAGCAACAGGAGGCACAGTAGCTATACTAACTTCTGTGCTTTTGCTGGTATTACCATCATCTGGAAAACAAGGGTTAACAGCAGCTTGCTATAGGAAGGACTCAAAGCTACACATCAAAGATCTCTGGCCCACGTGTACATAGGATTCACACAGTGTTAATGAAATGCCATACATTTGATTTCCTTTGTAAAGACTTGTCAGAGCTGTACAACTCTGCCCAAGCCTACAGAAGCAGCCTCAGTTTCCTCAAAGATCAGCACACATCTAATTCCTGACAGCACAGAGTGATCCTTTCAAGAGTTGCTGCCACATGTCTTTTAAGCTTTAAAAAAGTCAACCCATATCCTTAGGAGAACTTACAGATTCTAGTATGAAGGACAAATGCATGATTTTTTCCTGCTTACAACAGTTTGTTATTCTCATCTACTATGAAGACATAAAATAAACAGTCCAGGAATCATCTGAATTTTGACTGTGCTTTAAGACATTGCTAATTAGAGCCTAAGAAAGGCACTAAAAATACCCAGACATGCAGCTGACACCTTCTCGATTCAATTTGAGAACCTTCTGTGCCAACTTAGAAGCAGTGACTAACAGAACCGCTTTTAATGTCTGCTTTTCCATGAACAGTCATGTACAAGAACTACTTTTGTTCCAGAAAGAGATGGATAATTAGGATGAGTAACATTTTTCTCCTCTCCTGAAAACAAATAATTGCTTCAGTCATTAAGGAGTTCAGCAAATAGAGCTGTTTATCCAAAACTTAAAATATCTAAAAAGCAATAATTTCTCATCTATATTCAAGTTTCTTCATTGCAAATGATTTTTTATTTATTTAAATAAAAAGCATTCCTGCTTTCATGGAAGGATGTGTCTTTTGGGTTTGACAAACAAGTCCAAGAAGTAAATTTAAAAAGTACAGAAAATTTCGAGAACACCACGAGGTCAAGAGGAATAGAAATTTTTGTTCTGTGCATCATACAACAGTTCAAATCATTACATCACATTAAACTGAGATACAATCACAAGATTCACGAGGTCTTCCCATGGAAAACAGCATGAGAGGTGGCCCCATGTGAACCTCATCAAGTTCAGATGGGCTAAGTGCAAGCTCTTGAACATGGGTTGAGGCAATCTCAAATATGAACACAGACTCAGCAAAAAGTGGATATAGAGGGCCCTGTGGAGAAGGACTCATGGGTATTAGTGGGTGAAAAGCTCAACTTCAGTCTGCAGTGTGTGCTTGCAGCACGGAAAGCAAGACACATCCTGGGCTGCATCAAAATTAGCATGGCCAGGAAGGTGAGGGAAGCTACTCTCCCTCTCTGCTCAGATCCCACCTACACTCAGCTTTGGGGTCCCCCAGCACAGCAAGGACATGGACCTGTTGTAATAGGTCCAGAGGAGACCACAGGGACAATCAGAAAAGGATGCCTCCTGGGAAGAAAGACTGAGTAGAGGTGGCACTGCTCATCCTGGAGAAAAGGCAGCTCTGGGACACCTGACTATGGCATTTCATCACCTGGATGGGCTATGAGAAAATGGAGAGGGACACTTTCAAGGGGAGTAGTGATAAGGCGGGAGTTTAAACTTAGAATACAGATTTAGATTACATATAAGAAACTCCTTACTCAGAGGGTGATGAGGCACTGGCGTAGTATGCCTAGAAAAGCTGTAAGTGCCCCATCCCTGGGGATACTCAGGGCCAGGTTGGATGGGGCCTTTGGCAACCTAATCTAGTGTGTGACAACCCTGGACTAGAATTCAAAAAGGATAAAACACTTCAAACTATGAAGAACAAAAGCGTTCTCCTGATTAAGGCTGAACTTTTCGTGAAAAAATTAAATAAGTTGCCCTAAAGGGTCCTTGAAGGGTCACTGATTGTGTGTCAGTCACTTTCTACACCACACCTTCACTCATCCCATTATGCACTCCTGCCACCTTGTTCTCCACCATCTTTACTTTGGGACCTGAAGGGTTTTAACTGGCTGGCCAGGTAAAGGAAAGCAGCAGTAAACTAGTAAACTACTTGTTTAGTAATAAAGCTGCAAAAAGGATTGTGGGAGATAAGCTCGTCGTGATTTTACACAGCCCACACAAGCATTACCTTAAAATATCACTGCAGTGTATTTTTCAGCATCATTAGTTGTTTATTCAGCTTAATGATCCTTTCCTTTTTTTTTTCTTTTGCACAGAATTTCAATGCTGCTTAAGAAATAGAGATTATGAAAATAGATGACTTAGAGCAGCTACAATTATTAGGCTAATAAATAACCTACTGCATTGAAGGTAGAAGTGCCTTCAACAGATTCAAAACACTAGCATGCTGCTAATAATTATGTAGTTAAAAAACACTTGAAGTTGATGTAAAATGAAGTTTCTCCATCACACACTGTATCTACAAATTACAAATTCTCACACTCAAAAACTGTTATGTAAAGAAAAGTGGCTGAATTAGTCCAACCTTTATCAACTCAGATTCACAGATGCTAAGGAAATACTGCAGAACACACAGCGGACACATTCAGAACCTCACCTCATTACACCCTCAGACCAATATATGTGGCCATTATGCATATACCAGGAAAACCAAGTCCTTAATAAACATCATGGTTTATTATGAAATATACTCTTTCAATTAGAATTACTGACAAAACAGATTAGAAATAAAGATGACTGGGAAGCATCCTATTATTGTTAATGTCCCTGGAAGCACTGTTACCACTGTAATTGGTACTGATGTCACTTCCCAGGTGGTGCTTCATTATTTACCTTACTACTGCCAACAAGTCACCAGCTGGTATTACTCTAGCTTTGCATCACTGATAATACAGCTAGAGCTCTGTTACCTTTCCAGAGCCAGGGTGGTTAATAATTAAAGAGTGCTTAGATAGGAAACAACAAACTTGTGATAACCTATGGCTCCTCATTGTTCCATGTAATAATGGCACAAGGGAACACCTTGGCTTGTTACTGCCTACTGACTCCACAGAAGAGAAAAAGATATAAAAAATGAAATGTCTGTTGACTTTCCCTATTGCTCTTCTCCAACAACAGAAAATAAAGAAACATCCCTTAAATTTATCAAGTGGGATGGTGACTTAAAGCATTCAGTGAAGAAGTGAGTGCTATTGATTTTTTTGTACAAAACAGTAGCTCCCAGCTACCACAGAATATTAGCTAGTAATAAGCAATATTTGGTCTTATATGGAAGTCAGTTACTCCAAGATTAAATATTGCTGTGTAATTACGTGGTTTGGAGAGAAACTACCTGCAATCTACCTGCAATACACCACCTGCAGGAAAAGAACAGAGTTTTTGTCTCATGATGTTTTACTTTGTTCCATAAGAGTCAGTGCTGATGTGTAAAATAAAGTTCTCCTTACATTGCCAGTCTGGTACTGAACTTCCTGACTAGAATAGGCAAGACAACAGAACTGGAGTTAGAAGAAGTGCCAGCATCTCAATTCTTAAGTAGTTTTTGGAAATAATTCTTGGTTTTCATTATTCTCACTGTTATCATTGCCCGGAAGTAATCAACTTATTTATTTTAAATATTCTTCATAATACTCTCCCATTTAGGTGATGCTGATGACTAAGCTGGTTTTAGTAACAGGTCTGAAAAAGACACCAAGAAATTCTGAGCTATGTCTCTGTCACTGTTTGAAGAAAAATCCCTTGGATAGTGGTGACTCAGAAGGTCACAAATAAGCCTGTAGGGAGGAATGCTGTAACATGATGCAAAACACAACAGAGCAGCAAGGTCCCAGGCCACAATAAGGGAGGATCCACTCACATGTGACAGCTCAGAAATAAAATTAACAACCTGCTTACCTCTGAAAGGCCTAGAAGGACCTTAGCCAGGCATGGATCTCTAAACAAGATGCTCTTGTTTCCACTGCCAACTCTTAAATGAGGTCTGGGAGGGGGTGGATCCTGGCTACACCCCTTCTGATCTCTCAGGTGCATTGTGTACACCTGAGCTCCCTGGGTTGGCCCCACCTTCCCACCAGATGCTCAATCACTGGTTCTAGCTGTGACTTGCATTTCCACTATAAAGGGAAAGCTTTACTCAGTGTATATCAACAAATGGCACAGGTTCCCTAAATGCTTCCAGGTGGCATTACATCCTAACCTCTTCAAATCTAAGGAAACAAGATTTGTGGTCCTTTCCCACTCTCTTGCTGGTAAAAAAAAAAAAAACCAAAAAAAAAAAACCAGTATTTTCAGTTAAAATTACAGGAGGTAATTATGAGGAGGCAGCTCTAACTTGAGAGAGGAGTAGAGGGCATCTGGTGGTGTTTGTTGTTGTTAATGTATACCAACAGCAAGGCAATTCAGACCTACGTGCAGCTTTACCAGCAAGAATTAATATATTCCATGCTTCTCAACAAACAAACAGAAATGTAACAAACGGAGAAATTAAAATAATGTAAGCACAGAAGCACAAATAGTTCTAGAAGAAATAAGATGATACAACTTTCTATTGCCAGATGCTGACACTATGAAAATTGCTGTTAATACTGTTATAGTGGTTAAAAATACAAGTGGTACAAGTGCTCACAGGAAGTTGCCATCTCCAAGAGGTACATACTATGGAAAAGTAGGACAGGTCCCCCCCCTCTATCATAAGATACACAACATTGTTTGCTTGAGGAGTATCACAGAATCACCGTGTTGTGAGGTTTGAAAGAACTTCTGGAGATCACCCAGTCCAAACATCCTGTCAAAGCAGATTGTGTGCAGTTGGTTGCACAGGGAAGCATCCAGACAGGTTTTTAATATCTGCAGAGAAGGTAACTCCACAACATCTGGGCAGCTTGTTCTACTGCTCTGTAACCCTCAAAGTAAAGAATTTTTTCCTTCTGTTGGTATGGAACTTTTGTATGTTCCAGTTTGTGCCTGCTGCTGGGCACCATGCAGAGAGCCTGGTCCTACCCTATTGACACCCATCCTTTAGATATTTAACAGCTTTCATAAGGTCCATGGAGATGAGATCGGAAAATGAACAGAAAGTCTTTTCTTAGTAAGCAGGACCATCGCAGGTGAGGTACATTAATTTCAAAGCAGCATTTCTGACACTGTAGAGAAGATGATTTGATGAATCCAGTTCCAAGCTATCAGATCAACTCGTGAATTGATAGGACATATTCAGAACGAAGTTCATGAGAACAGTTAATTTTAAATCAGCAATGAGGATTCTGGCATTAAGATAAGACTGTGAAGAACTAACACTGAAACATTCTACAGTGTTGGGCTTAGCATATGTGTTGAACAGCATATACCACTTGGAATTCACACACTGAACAGAGCCAACATCTGTGAGACTCCTTTACTCTAAGGAACTGGGGAACACAATGGTACAATAGAAATGAAAGCCTACACTTAGAAATAAGATCTCTAGTCATGTGGGGGCTATATGCATTTTATTGCCAGTGGCAAAAAGCTGAAAAAAAGCTCAGACGTTGTTGTACCTTCTCATGAGAAATGAACTGCAGTATCAGAACTTGCTTGACTGAAAAAAAAACAAAAGACAACTGTGATATGATATGTTGTATCCTTCCTTACCCAGCTTCAATGCATGGAATCAATCACAGACAAGATTTTAAGTGAGAAAACATTAGAAAAAAAACCAGTACGTGTATCTTTCAAACCATCACTGTCAGCAAGAGAAGAAACTGTCTCTCATTTCCACCAGCACAAACATGTGGTAAAGCACAACATTGGTGACCTGGTTAAAACTCATTTTTAAAAAAAGTTGGTTTTAACCCACATCAATTTTCCAGTCTGTTCTGATATGCAGCCACGCAAACACCTACACTGGTAAAAGTGGGTAGAAGAAAACTGCTCCCTCTGACAGCAGAGCTGGCTGAAAGTGTAAATGAAACTTAAGACCTTCTGGTGTTTGCAGATTTTCTTACCAAAGTAAAAGTTAAATTGAAAACAGATTAGAGGCCAAGTTCAAAGTTGATATGAGACACAAAACAACTTCGCAAATTTTAGAGAAATTCATCACAGACTGTCAAAAATCTGTTCCAAGTCACAAGCTATTAGTCTTAAAACTAAATGTACTGCTAATGGAGAGCTGTTGTGTTCTGCTCTCTTCTGATCCTTTTTTAAACAAAATCACTGATGGAGAATTATGGACCTTTTTCAGAGTTTACAGGTAGCTGTAAAGAATGTGAGCAGAGATTAGAAAATAAGACTGGCCAATAAATGAATGTCAATATTTGAATGCTTTTTCTATAAGTATTCTGAGAGCTTTAGGAAGAACTATTTGAGCAATGTCAATAACTAATGCTACTTTTCTCTGTTAGCTTATTTAAATTCTTAATTAAACTGTTTACTAACCAGCCAGGAGGTACCACTTATAACAGCATGCAACAGACACAGTCCCATGGTTTAAGAATGACTCTTCTTAGATTCAGAAAATATACAGGAAAATGGAGCATTTAGTGCCTTTATTCCCAGTGATGCCTAACAATTTGACAAATTACTACAGCTAGTTAAAAATCTGTGTAAAGCCTGTACTTAATTGGATGAATTATCACCTAATATAATTTTCACCCCAACGTTTTAGACAGGATGACACGTATCAAATAGCCTGCCTACAATATTTCTTTGTATGCCCCATAAGTGATGTTCTATAAGGCCAGGTCCTCTTCCCAAAATAACACAGTTTCTACTAACTGAAGTAGTAGGAAAGACTCCCAGATGCAAACTCAGGAAAAATGACTGCTCTTTATTGTTTGCCTTGAAGTAATTTAGTCATAAACAGTAACTGATAGCCTTGAATTTCTTACCAAGGAAAGAACAAGGTCTGTGATCTGCCTTACAGGAATTTAGATGGAAAGACACCTGTGGGTTCTGAATCAGAGTCTGAGTTGAAATGCTTCCAAACCCCACCCACAGTGGGACCTTGTTGATATACTCCTTTGTGAGCTTAAAAATCAGAGTAGTGAAAATTCAGTCAGTAGAAACCTAATCATTTCCAGTCTAAATACACGTTCCTTTAGTAAACTGTTTTGCATCTGAAATCAAGTGTTTAGAATGGAGACCTCAGAAGGAAGGCTTTGACCGAGCCACATGATGTATAAAGCTTCCAAAGGGCGGAGGAGCTCCCCTGCAGTTTTCTGATGGCAGCAGCCTTGTGTATGAAAACTCTTCATTTGCCAGCAATCATGAGGTTCCTTTCACCTCAGGCGCTCCTTCCACTGTTCCTCACGTGCATGTTCTCCATTTTCTGTAGTAACTACAGATCCTCTCGCATGTCAAGTTTGTTTTGAGCAAATGCATAACTCCAGCTTTAGCACATGTCTGACATCAGGCTGGCCCATGCCTTGCCTTGGGTGTGTGATGCCTTTGTTATCTCAGCCCGGTGTCCCAGTAGGATGAACTGAAAGCCATAAAAACAAGGGTAATGCGATGCTAAGGAAGGCAGGTGTGGGGAAAGCATAAACAAGACGTGAGTCCACCTTAAGCAGTTTTTTTTTTTTAATGAATTGAATACTCTCATTGAATTAATTATACAGAACTTGGAAATTAAAACCAAGACAGACTCAGCAGAGTGTTTCATACACAAGAGAGTGTGAGCTGGAGAGCAAAATGTGGTGATTAAACATTGTGGGCTGTTTTCATAGCACGGGAGAAGCGTGGAGAATCACAGAACCGACACCAGCTCCTGGGAGGAACACAGAGTGTGGAAGAGATGAGGGAACAGGGACAAACCTCGGGAGGGCATCTCAGGGCGCCTAACAGGCGGGAAGACGCCATCCCGCCGCTCTGCGGCACTGAGCTCGTCCCTGAGCTCAGGTCACCGCCGCCCGCCCTGAGCAGAGCGCCGAGGTGCCGGCAGGCGGCGGCCGCGGCTCCGTCAGCGCGGCCGCTACGGGGCGCTCCGGCACGGAGGCGCCGATCCGGGCGGGAAGGCGGCGGACGGCAGGGGGCGCTGTACGGAGAGGAGGCGGAGGCCATTGCCTCAGCCGGGGGCGGGGAGGCGGGCCGCGGCGGCATGGCGCTGCCGGTGCTGTCGAGCTCCGGGGTGAGGTTCAGGCGGGTCCTGGCGCATTTCCCTCAGGAGCTCAGCCTGGCGTTCGCCTACGGCTCCGGCGTCTTCCGGCAGGAGGGGGCCTCGGCCGGGCACAGCGAGGTGAGAGCGGCGGGCGGCTGGGCGGGCGCAGGCCGCTGTGGGCGCGGGCCGTGTTACTGCGGGAGTGGAGGCGGCCGGCCGTGCTGAGCCTGCCCGGAGCGCGGTGCTGAGCCTGCTCGGAGCGCCGTGTGTGCGGCTGAAGCATGGAAGCAGCGAAAACGAGCCCTTACTGGTAGCGATCCGAGGAGTTTAAGAGCTCTGAGGATTTCATGCTCTCACAAAAAACAAGTGGAAGTAACGCAGTTCACTACTTAGTAGTGACTGCTTAGCTAAGGTGCAGCCCAGAGTGTAAGCACACAGCCTTTAAACTGTGCCCCACCTCAAGGCGTGTGTGTGTTCTATTTTTTATTCACGTGTACAATAATTAGCTGATATCTATATATTATGCATGTGTTACATTAATGTGATCAACATGAATTGCTTACTGACACTGGCAAACTGGTCCTTTTCTCTGTATCCACAGAACAATATGCTGGACTTCGTGTTTGCGGTTGATGATTCTGTGACCTGGCACATGATGAACCTGTTAAAGAACAAGAGTCATTATTCTTTCTTAAAAGTCTTTGGGCCAAAGCAGATAAGTAACATACAGAGCTATGGAGCAGGGATTTACTACAATACTTTAGTGCCGTGCAATGGCAGGGTGAGTATGACTTTAGGAAGGCTAAATATTAGTGTGTGAAGTGTTGAGGTGATTAGCTTAAAGCACATTTTCATGCAGGAAGCAC